AGTCCTGTCCTCGTCCCGCGCCCGCCCTCGTCGCTGCGGCGCGAGCGCACATGAAAGGCCAGGGGCCGCGGGCCGGGTGGTGCGCCGTGGGGGCGGGACAAAAAGTTAGCTCGCTCGCCACTCATTAGCTCGCGGCCCTAATTCTCGCTCTGGCGCCGAGGCGAGGGCGGACTCGGCGGCGCGGACGGCCTTGAGCGGCGCTCGTCCTATTCAAATCGCGGGCTGTCTCGCGACGCGAAGATCACAGGGCCTTTGAAAACACTGGGAGGATTTTTCGCCTGCTTGGCCCGGAGATAAATGTGACACCAGAAAGTTCTGGATTCGTAAGGTTTAACCTCTTCGAATCCTAAGCTTGTAATCATAAATAATTTGTTCCATTTCGAAAACAAAAACTTAGTGTCCGCTCGTTAGCTCTGTAAATAATTATGTTTCTTTTCGATAAGAAATGTCGTAGCATTCATACTTTAATCAAAAAACGTCTTCACCTTACCATATTACCCTCTTTAATCCCATAGTGCCACGGTGATGACTGTCGTTTAGGTAGTACGACTCGCAGGACACTGTTCACTCAACAGCCGCAAACTGTGATTCTGGATTACATGATCGTTAACCTTATCAAATGTTGACATATGTAGTATTGCAGAATTTTTCCTATCAAGGTCTTCCATGTAGCTTCGTTATCTATGCAGGTTTTATAGAACTGAGTGAGGAATATAGTTCTTCAAATAAGCGTTATCCATTTTCTCGTGTCAGGCCATGTCCATTATTTCACGAAGGGCACGATGAGGGGTAATTGCCGAAATTAGTTTCTGATTGGTCTTTGCAAATAGAGTTTAGTAGACGGAAGTCCTATGCTCTTAAAATCCTGTTTTGAGGGGATCAGAGTCATCGAGTTATGCACGCCATAATTTGAAAAACAGAAGTGTGGTAGGGGTAAGGTGCGCACAGTCTCGAGTTCTTCATGAGCTTAAATCAACCATTTTCTATTATATGCCCTTTAAATCTACGAACACACTACTCTATTTGTAACAATAAACGTCTTCATCAATAAACGTCATTTTATATCTTTAGTGAGCATCCCTACATCCTCTACATGTGCTACAATTCCCGCATGCGTATGTCGGTTTAGTATATTTTCAGCATGCGGTTGCATGTACGTTTTATGCGAGCGCACAGAAACTCGCGATGACATTTATAGAGCAATCTGTAGCTTCCAAATGAGTCTGGCTCTAAAACGGCGCCGGCAGCGGCGAAGAATTTATTGACGGCCAGTGAACACTTTGAGCCCAAAAGGACGCGCTTCCCTCGATTAGAGGCAATTAGAGAATAGAAGCGACGGCCTGTGGGCAACTAGCCGTACGCTCGAGCCGTTGCTTTCCGCGCTGTGTCCGTCACTGCCCCCCCCCTTTCGCGCTATCACCCGATGTGTCGCACCGCCGCGCCGCGTTCTCACAAACGATGTGGTGCTGCTCTCCGCTCTCTTGCACGTCGTTATCAAGAACTAGGAGTAACGCGTCGAAAATTACGGTACGAAATAACTTGCGCATTAATAATAGATGCAAACACAACATTTACAAATCCAATGGAACCGGGAGTCGTGGCATAGGGCATCTACTGATGGCACTGCTGCATGGAAGAACGTTCTAGAGGCCGGCAGCTCTGATCGGTAGTTTCCCGTGGTTTCTAGGATCAAGCAGGCCACGGACAGCGCGTGATCTTTCCTTCCCCTTTTTTGTTCTATCCTCACCCCCATACGCACACATTACACGCACTACACTTACAGCTACCGGGAGACCGGTCAGAAGCTTAGAGCTTGTCCCGACGGAAGCGGTACCCCGCTGATGGCAGATGCCTTGTTGGGAAACACTCCGCTTGCTGACTGACGACAGTGATGGACGTCGAATCTCACAATTCGGCGGGAGAAGATCACCGCCACCTCCCGGGGGGAAAACAAGCACTACACTTGCGGGACGAATAACCTTAATCGTGGACGCGCCTGAGAGCACTAATCAATCAATCAAAATTCAGTGGTTTTTATTTAAGATTTACTTTGTTGTAATATTTTCTCCATCAAATTTCTGAGAAACACTCCCATTATTTTTTTTAATCTGGAGAGGGATACATGAATTTGACCACGGAAAAATACATTATAAAAGACACACACCTGTTGAAACAATAACCTCCGCTACAAAGTCAAGAGAGCCGTGAATGGAAATAAGTGTAGGGGATTCTACCTAATGGTTCCGTATTTTGCAAATTCTCCAATTTCCAAACTCACTCCTGCAGACGTCCCCTAACCCCCGAACTCATTCCCACTGCCACAGTCAGATACAGGCTGCCTGTTCTTAAATCATAAATAATTATATCCAAAGAAACTATCTATCCGTTTCGTTTGCTCAAACGATAGAATCGTTAGCATGCAGGATATTCTGTTATAGATTAATTTATTTACTGGTAGAGACTCGGATACCTGTAAGAATTGTTTTGAGTCTTTTCACATTTCGATGCAGCCTGGATCATGTAGGAGTGTCTTTGCGAAAAAGAAATTTCTTTCCTGAGACACCAAAAACCCGTAAATTTCAATTCTTCAAAAGTGCAAAAATTAATTTTTATTGCGTTTTCTGATTATTGGATAAAAATAGTAAAATTTTGTCTAAAATATTTTTTTGGGTTCGTCGTAGATGGCACTGTAATAAATAAAAACGAAAATTACTTAGATTTCTGTATTTTATTGCATACTGACGATAACCATTATTTTTTTTAAATATTTGCAGAACCAAATAGTCGACCTGATTAATACTATTATTTCTATAAAAGATGAAAATTTAACAGTAGAAAATAAGCAATAAGCCAAATATTATTCGAAATCATCAAAATAATGTCTAGTACAGAGAACTGAGGTAGAGTGGTGTGAAGGCTTCCGCGGTGAAATTGTACAATACAGGAGAAGTGGACAAAATGCATTCTATTATCGATCGTTCATGATCGATTTATTTTGCAGTCTCGGAAGGGAGCGCGTTTGGTTCGTGCATATTAAATCTATACGTAGATACTTGTCGAGAATCGGTACTAATCGTCGGCTCTTCTCTGCTGCATCGGCGAAGCGTGCTTTGTGGACAATTTTGTGGTAGTTTTGATGTGTTTCCCTTGTGAAAACTATGTATCATGAGCACTGCAACAAAGATGAACAAACTTAATGCAGAATATTAATAAAATTTAATGATAAAATAATTAAAAACAGATTTTTTAATGATCCACTACCGCACTGGCGTACTTTCAATTGCACAACTATGCTGAGGATTACAGCGAGCCTTGTGCTATCGAATTTTAATTCAGTTTTCGTGGAAGAGAACGCCCTACTAGTTTGTGCACATATTTCAGTTACTCATCTATTTTTTATGCGCTTGAGCGATAAATGGTATCGAGAGATCCGGGGACCCCTCAGCATTCGTTATTTATCGTTGCTCTTTCGTCCGCCGGCGTGGAGAGCTCACAGATAGCAGGAATAGTATCGGTATCATTTGTTCTTGGTAATGTTAGTTCCGGAAGAAGCATTCCCGAAGTAGTGGTCTCGGCTCGCCGAAAACGATCGGAACTAAGAGTCGTTGTGTTCGGTTCTACAATATATGTAAAGTACTTTTATTGTGTAACAATGTACAGTTTATTAATGAAAAAAATATGTTCTGTATTTTTGAAAAAAATTGCATATTTTTCCTTGCAGTATTCGCGCCCAATTTCGTTACGTAAGTCATCACGAGGTCGACATACAATGTAGCCCGAATTAAAAAAGTATTTTTAGACATTATGAGGTACGTAAAATATTTCTGAACAAGTACTTTGTCCACAAATCAGGACTAATGCCATCGAACATGAGAAATAAACTACTGTGCCTAAAATACGCATACTCAAGACTGTTCTACAAACATCCCATTAAATCAATACATCAGCAGTCATTTCAAAACAGGAATATATCAATCTCGTCCAAGTGTTCCAAAACCCTTTCGAAAAAGACTTCTTGACTATGAAAAAGATTTTGACATTGAAAAATCATCTCTCTTCCCAAGACATCTTCACCTGGTTTAACGTTTAACATTTAAATAAATCTCTGTTGTCTCCTGATGGAAAATAGCTATAAGGGACGTCAATTAATATACGAAATATTTTATTTCTCTGTCGATAATTCATCGTGGGCAGTGGTCTCAATAGATAGCACTGTTGTATGTGCCAATAGTAAATGACTGAGAATAGAACATCGTATTTCAGTATATAGTACATCTTATTTCTTGCATGGAAAACTTCATTTTATGACCCATAACAGTGCTCGCACGAACTACAATTGTAGCCCAATCGGATTTCATAGTATCTGACTGCAATGTACTTGATATGAAAAGCTCGTATGTAATCAGCATGGTAAGAGTAACATGTTATCTGAAGCTACTCCCCACCACTCTAATCTCAATAGAGGTTGTGCGACACCGAAAATGAAATGGCTGGATTATACCTGTAGCACGCGCGAGTTCTTCACGGTTAATAAATCGACTTAGTGAACCAGGTTCGCTACTACCACATTTCCATCTTAATTATCCTAATAATCTTAATATTTATCCATCTTAATAATCCATAAATGTAGCTTCACTGTGTACACGTTTTGTTGAGCTCTCCTTTTACTGGTAGTAGATGAAGTAGAAATAGCGTTACGCTTTTGTTAGCAATACAAAAAATCAAATGTACTATAAGTTTACCTACGCAAATACGTTTTCTATATTTTTGGGGCGAAATGTGTAATATTCAAAATGTTGCCATCCTCGCGCTCTTTTTAAACTTTTATTCATCTTTCAACTCTATGGGGAAGAGATTCTGGAGCTCAAAAAAAGTGCGCAGAACGTACTTTTCCCCCATCGCATGTATTTTTTACCGTTCTTTGACTAAATAAATGAAATGTGGGAAGCCCAGGCGGGACGGCGGGTGGTGACCGTGAGTGTGTTGCAGAGACGAGCGGCCGTGGCATCGCCGCCGTCACCTCGCCGCCGCACTCGCTGGCCGTGGCGAGCCACAGCGCCACGTGGCTTACGGTGGCGTGGCAGCCGCCCGAGTTCAGCCTGCCCTCCGAGCACATCACCTACAGGTGGGTCCCCGCCTCCCGCTAAGCGGATCTAACGCTGCGAGCTCCGCTCCTCACGAATTGAATTGAATTGAATTGAATTGATGCCTTATTTTACGTGGCGAGACTCAGGCCATGAAGCCTGCTCTTCCGTCTGACCACGCAAATTTCGCTATGCTCCTTTCTCCAACTAGCAGAGGAAGGAGGTATTTCTGGGACGAGAAACAGGCGATTTTTGAATTTATCTCAGAGGCGTCATTTAGGCTTGAGGATCTTTTACATGCAAGTAAATCTACTAACATGGGACAGCCGGCTTTACTTCTCCTCCAAAGGAAGGCGTACGGAGGATGTTTCTCCTTTAAAAATCCACGACTTCGATCGGGTTGGAACCCGCCAACTTGGGTATACCAGTTCGATTCGCTTACTGTTACACCATCGCAACGGAATGCGGTGTTGTTGGTCTCGAATGCGCGTGCTCTAGCATGGGTATTATCGTGTTCGGCGGCAATGGTGTAACAGCGCATCGGACTGGTGTCCCGAAGTTGGCGAGTTCAAACCCGATCGAAGCCCTGGATTTGTTAAGGGCGAAAAACATCCTTCGTACGCCTGAAGGTCGTGAAGGTCCGAGTCTACCCACGTAAAATAAGGCATTCAATTCAATTCAATTCAGTTCAATATCGTTTGAGGATCGTATTGGCTCATGAGTATCGATTGACCCGAGTCGTTGAGCGTTTTCAAATATGGCCGTCCGGGGGTGCCCAACCTTCTCAATTAAATTTTTGCTCAAGCACTTTTTTTTCCATGATCGCCACCGAGAATCGAAGCAACGAAATCAGTTTCATTTATCCATTATTTGCGCAGTTATCCGTCTGAGTTTGGGATGTGATGAGGACGAGAAATATTGGAGGATTTAATTTTGCTAATTACGTTTATTTTACTTGCCACAAGCACATCAACATTTTCTGTTCTTTGAAACTACGCCGCCCCCAATCGCATTTGAACCAATGAACATATATTTCGGTACCCATAGTCTCTACCCTCGTACTATTGTGCCCGGCACAAACGGAATATTCAATTGATTCACTGTATACAGGGATGCTTCCTTGTGGAGATTACAAGGGCTTATTGAGGTAACAATGGTTTTGCTTGTGTCAGAAGTTTACAGTAGTGATTCTCTTGGTTCCTCGAAACCCTAAGCTACTCAACACCGGCGCCATTCGCTCAATGCACATTGATATGGATCGTGGTAACCCCACAATAGTAACTATTCCGAGAACAACTGTTTGCGTATGAGGAATAGCGTTGTGCACCGTACGGGGAAATGCAGTGCAATGATATTAAGACGAGCACACTGTAAGACGGCACTTTATTACGGTACAACTCGGCATTAACCAAACAAAAGAATATGAGTCTACGCAAGATGATTAAATGCAGCAAAAATCAACAACAAAAAGCAGTACAAAATTTCTTTCTCGGAATTATTTATAATGCTTCCTGGTATGTTATTAACAAATAATAACAAAATTAATTTGACTTAGAGACCATAACACGAGATTCAAAAAATCATATTTTTTAAATATAGTTGAGGATATAATCTAAATGTATTCAATAGTCAGAGATGTAGACTTACAAGTTACAGAAAAATATAATTTAATTGCAGTTGGTTATGACCCGATGACAGTTAATTATAATTATTAAACAAGCAAGAAAAAACAATATAATTAAAAATGCAATAATAATTGCAGCAAAAGCTGTGGTAATATAATGTGTAGTATGTTATTAACTGAAAGTAATGAATATAAAAGCACTGATATATGTGCTGCACTATTCGTTACACAACACTTGCTTCTGAGGGTATCGTAGTCATTTCTTGGATCAATCACCTAATTCTATTTTTCGCCTTTCCTTTTCTTTTTTCAAAATATATGAATTTTGGATCTATTGAATGTGCCACTACCCGAACGTACCGCTAATTCTGCCTCTGAAATTGTTACGTTGAGTAGTTTTAATCCCATGATAATATTGACCTGATCCATCTTAAAAACCATCGAGGTGCTGCACAAAACACATTGACACAACGGTATTGGTTTATTGAGTCACATGGCAACACTAATCTGCCTCATCTTCTGCCTCAAAGCAGACAAGGTATATGTGAAGAAATAATGGAAGTAATCTCCACAACTTAATATATTAATTTAGAACCTGCTTTGCCATTATCATCAGTTTACAAATATAAGCAAAATAATAAATATAAAATACAAGGTAAATACAAAATAAGACAAAGTGGGAAATTAAGTAAATAATAAATTCGTTTAAAATTATAATAATTAGCAAATGAAATTACAAAAACTGAAATGCAAAGGGGTCGGAGATTGCTATAGAAACCAGCCCCACACGTTATAGACAAGTTGTAGCTTTAATTTCATTGATACGTTGGCACAGAAGTGTCTTGAATTTTATGGCAACACGGATCTGCGCCATCTTGAAAACAATCGAGGTGTGCATCAAAACACATTCAAACTTCGGAGTATTTTGTGTCGTGTGGCAAAACAGCCCAGTATTATCCCGTTTTCCGATGCAGATGGTTTCTGGGCGAATGCATCAAAAGATGCTAACATTGCTCGTTGCTACTTCAACTGTATTAAGCTACTTCCTGGGATTAAGCCACTTCCACCACGTCACGTCCGTTTCTTTACAATTTATTGAAATAAATGAAAGCGTCCGAAATGAGGTTGACGGTGGCGAGGCGTGGTTGCAGGTTGCTGTGGAAGTCGGCGGCCGACGCGGACCTCCAGCTGGTGGTGACGAGCGTCACGTCGCACATGCTGGAGAAACTGCAGCCCAACACGCAGTACATCGTGTACGTGGTGGCCGTCACCGACAAGGGCTCCAGCCTGCCTTCGGAGACGCTCATCGCGTGGACGGACCCGGCCTACCCCGCTTTCGTTGAGGTCAGTCGCCTCGCACCTTGGATTTCATTATTATTTTTACTTTCTCGCCTCACTGCGTAATCACGTAGGAAGAAGAACGTATTGTAATGCTGCGGTGGAAATATGCGATTTTGCGACATAAATCGACCGTAGCATTCCCCCGCAGCATTACAATAGATTCTTCTTATACTCTTACCGTTACGTATGGGAAGAAGATTTGTCTACTTTTTCGATAAAAGGGGCTGACTGACAAAGCACATTTTTGCGTGACAAAATCGCATATTTCCACTGCAGCATTACAATACGTCCATCTTTTTTTCATTTTATTTAAGGTCGCATCAATTACTAGGTCATTAGCGACCACTATTGCTTGTAACGGTATGGTAACTGTGGGTTGACACGATAATGATGATGATAGGGGGTGAAAGGACGAAACACAATACAACCATACCCGAGGCGGGACTCGAACCCGCGATCCTTGGGTCCGAGTTCTCTACGGCACTACTGCCTTAGCGACAATACGTTCTTGTTACTATGTAATAAATAACTTCCTCTAACACGTTATGTAGTCAGAATCCAAGTTATGTGAGTCCTTGACACCGGAAAATTAGTTGACAGCCAAATGTCAATATGTCCATCAATCCGTCTGTCTGTCTGTCTGTGGTCATCGCAAGTGCCTAAAACAATTCGGACGACTTTCTCTAATATTGATATTCTCCGATCGCTCTGGCCTATCTCGAGACCTTCAAAGTTTAAAAAGGATATTTCTGATTTTATGCGTACATTTCGTGAATCCTCAATTACATTTTCTAAAAACTGGCTCTAAATTTTTGGATTACTTTTTCTCCCTCGTATATAGCAAAGGACGCATAACAATGGCGGAGGTCTCATTTTCGTTGAACTCTTTGGATTTTCGAAAATGGCTAATGCTACAAATATTGCGAGAAAGGATGAGCTGTTGTAGCACTGTGATAAATTATAGTAACGAGGGGAACTTCACAGAGCGAAGTGGTCTCTCGGGAAGAGTCGCGAGTTCCGTTCCCGCTCGTAGGGTGCGCGGCGCAGAAGCTGCCCTCGAATTGGGGTTAGGACGTGGAGGCCGCGCCCGCTGCCATCTTTTCCTTGAGGTTGCACCGTGTACTCGACTAAACGTCGTGTATTTCTTAACTGCTTTTACTGTTAAATGGGTGTTAGGTGATAATTGTTGACGGTCTGCACGTTTCCCATACTACGTTCCTATGCGATATCTTGGTCTGCTAATTGACTTATGCATCACGGAAACCGCGCGGGTCGTGGCCTGTTTTATGAGTGGTAGTCTGGCATTTGATCGGAGAAACCACGGAGAACTGCAGATCTCAGCAGCCGCCCGCTAGAATTCTGCCCCAGACAGCGGCTGAATTTGTCCTACCTATGTAGCTAGTGGAAAATACGCCCCAGTTGGGACTGTCCTGCCAGTCGTAGTCGTTGCAGTCAGCAGTAACGATAGCTCTGAGCTCGACGCAGCCGGTGTCGTGTCCCACTTTTAGACCGCTCCCCCTTCCCCGAAAAGAAGCTGCTTCT